ATCCTCAGGGGGAGGTATCAAATGAATCATTAGGTGGTCCCTGGAGAAGGGGTTACCCCATCTTTTCAGGTATGGGAGGGTTAAATAGATAAATGTGAGACGTGAGAGCTGTCCCACTCTGGGTCTATTGGGTGGAAGGAACTTTCCTGGGAATAACTGTGATGTAATTGAATATCGAACTGAAATCTGAATCCCCTTGTTTTCCCAGTGGGTTTGGGTCAAGGTCTCTATTCTGTTTCTTAAGTGGATACTTAATAATCCCAAGATATCAACAAAGACTGCATAAGATTTATGGAGTACTGAGCACTTTAGCAACACTTGACATAATTCTCCTTTTTAATCCTCACAACAACCCACTGAGGTAGACATTGCCATTTTACAGATGAGAAAATGGAGGTTCATAGAGGTAAAAAAATGTGCCCAAGGTACCAAGTTACTGCACCGTGTGGCCAGGTTTCAAACCCAGGACTTGCTGGCTCTCTGTGTCAAACCACCCTGTTACAAGCCTGACTTTGATTCAAGAACTCTGTGGTTCACCAAGCCAACTCCTGGCATCAGATCTGGCCTTGGCATTTATACATGGCTCCAGGAAACACAGCTGTTTGGGGGAAGCAACAGCTGTTCACTCATTTACCACTCCACCAAGCCACAAAAATTAAAACACCATAAGGTAAAGCTCACTCCATCTCAAACACTAGGATAGGTAATTATTGTTTTAATTAAAGAAAAGAAATACCCAACCTTCTCCAGCTCAAAACACTGAAGTATTGATTTCTGTAGGGGGTAAGGGAATGATGTGGAGCAAGAAATTTATATATATATATATATATATATATATATTTGACTATAACAATTCTACATGGTTACTCTGTATGTTTGAAAAAGACATATTGGTATGCTTTTCATCCACTCATCCATCCATCCGTTCACTCACCCACCCATCCATCCAGCCAGCCTTTGTTTCATCAAATATGTACAGAGCACCTACTAAGTACCCAGCTTCAAGTATGGGGAAACTTTCATCAACTAGAAAATCTACCTCATTCCTTCATTCCAGTTGGGAGTTTGTACTTCCTTGCATCTGGCAAGAAAGTCTTCTCTTAATGAAATTATCAGCTGGATTCTCACAAACTGTTTTCCAAAATAACCTCCTAAATTTCCTCTTTTGTTAAAGATCTCCAACACAGAAAAGGAAGAAGGGGAACAGGCTAACACCCCTTCTGGAGAACTCTGAAAAACACCCCAGCATATTCCTAGCAGTAGAAGCAGCCACTGTATGCTGAAATATTTGCTTCTAGCTGCCCATTTAGGACATTTCCTCTTCTTGTTAGTTTCCTAGGGTTGCCATAGCAATGTACCACATCCAGGAGGCTTAAACAACAGACATATTTTCTCACAGTTCTATAGGCTGGAAGTTCAAGGTCAACACATCGGCAGGGTTGTTCCTCCTGACAACTGAGAGTGAAGAATGTGCTTCAGGCGTCTCTCCTCAGGCTCATGGATGGCCACTGTTTCCTTGTGTCTTCACATCATGGCCCCTCTGTGTGCGTCTGTGTCCTAATTTCCTCATTTCATAAGGACACCAGTCCTATTGGACTCAGGCCCACCCCGATGGCCTCATTTTATTTTAATTACCTTTTTAAGGACTCTGTCTTCAAATGTAGTCATATTCTAGATCCCAGGGGTTAGAACCTCAACATAGGAATAAAGAGAGTGGGGAGGGACACAATTCAGCCCCACACAGCTTCCCCCTCTCTTCTCAAGTTCTCAGTGGTGACATAATGCTAAAGTGCATGAGACCTGTGTGATCTTGGATTAAATTACCTAAACACTCTGCCTTGGTTTGTTTGTCTATAATATTAGTCTAGTATTAGTACCTGTCTCATAGGGTTATTAGAAGGATTCAGTGACTTCATACATCTATGGCACTCAGAACATGTGTGGTACAGAGTAACCATTCAGTAAGTGTTTATTAAATTAAACATTGCTGTGGCCTGTGTTTAGATATCCCCCCAAAGCCTCATGCTTCTCCAGAGGTGGCTGAATCCAGAGTGGGATTGATTCATGGTGCAACGCTAGGCCTGAGAGCACTAGGATTAAGGGCATGAGTGCTACCCACCCTAAGTAATCTGAATAAGATAAAAGGGGCAAAAAGATGCTGTTAAAGTCCCTTGTTGCTTCTGGTGCCTTCCTCGCCATGAACTGTTGTGCCTCTGCCATGTGCCACTCTGCCTTGGAGCCAGCCGATGATGGACTGAAACCTCTACAAACTGTGAGCTAAATAAATCCTTTCCCCTTTAACTTTGGGTGTTGGGTATTTTGTCTCAGCAACTAGAAAAAAGTAACTAAGACAAACATTAAAATAAAAAACTTTAAAAAAATTTTTTTTGTAGTGCCAGCAATCAAAACGAGTGCCTTGTACACGCTAGCAAAGACTCATTTTGACAAAAGTGTTAGGAAAGTGTGACCTTGCTCCCCCCAAGGATTTGTTTCTCTGGGCAATGCTTAACATCAGTGGTACAATCACCAATTCATAACAGGGGAATACACATCCGTGAGTGTCCATGTCTCCAACGTCCTGCCAAGTACACGATATAGTGACTACATGATCTGTTTTAAAACATTAACAGTAGCCAACATGTGTTAAATGCTAACAATACGCCATGGGGCTTTACCAATATGACCTTGTTTAACCCCATGAGGTAGATATTCTTATTATTTCCATTTTATATCTAGGAAATGAAGGCTTCACAAAGTCACATCTCAAGGTCAAGTTCCCCAGTGAGTAAGTGGGAGGAGAAGATAGGATAGCTATCGTGAGCAAATGAGGTACTATCAGATTCAGGGCTTCCAGAAGATAGAAGTCTTCCCTTGTTCCCCACTTTTCTATCACCCCCTTCTTCTCTCCCTCTGCTGAATGACACATCCCTATGGCCAAGACGACGCTCTCCGATACAGAAAACATCCAAACTGCTGGGACCCAACCCAGCGCCACCTTGCGAGCCCAGCATTTCGAGGGGCAGCCTTCCAAACAGGGTAATAATTGTCCCATTAAAATTAATGTCCATGAAGTGAGCCGTTAAAAGCGTGCAGATTAAAAGGGGGGGGGTGTTCAATTTAAATCCAAAGGGCTTTTTAAATAGACACTGTATCTTCATTCTTGGAACGCTACAGCCGGGCAGTGGATCAGGGCCCCTCTGCAAAGATGAGGGGGATTAAGGAGGTGAGTCCCAGGAGATGGGGAAATGGTTCTGGCCAGAAGCAAAGGGAACCAAGGCCTATCCGGGGCCCACTGCATGCCAGGTGCTTGGCATATATTTCTTTCATTTAGTCTCTGCCCCAGTCCTGGGAGGGAGGTATTATTAGTCCCAGATTACAGGGGGCAGTATAAAACTGTGGTTAAGAGCTTAGCACCTCCGGCGGATTGCCCTGGTCTAGATCCAGCCTTTACTTTTTACTAACTGTGAGCTTGGGCAAGAAGACTTGTGTATGTGTGCCTCAGTTTCCTCATCTTGAAAACAGGACAGTATGAGTGCACCCCCCCCACATACATAGATAGAATTAGAGATTCAGAGTAGGCAGTGTGGGCAAGGGTCTTGGCCCACTTAACTGATTTAGAAGCACTAGTAGGTGTTGCCTATTATTAGGAAAACTTGGGCTGGGTGAAGGAAAGGGCCGCCAATGTCACAGAACCCACCTGCAATCTGCTGCTTAACTTTGTCATTTTACCATGCTGCTGGGCAAGAGGGAAAAATCTCTCCTAGTGATAAATACAGACAAAACTAAGTTCATGGTCTTGAGGAATATTTTCCAAGGGACTGAGGGACTCATCAGGCCTCAGCAATATACTCTGCAGGTGGGAGGCAGAGAATGGAAACTTCCTCATCAGTTGCCAGATCACTGGCTTGGATCCACCTCTAGCCTTTCTCAAAGTTGTTAGAATCCCACTGGATTTAAAATTGGAGAAAGTCTCATTCCCCACCCCCCAAATTCTGACAGCCTCCTTTCCCATCTGTACCTTCCCTAGCAGTGATAACTCCTGGCTTTCTAGTCTGGAGGGCCATGGGGCATGGTGGGGGGGCATCCCTCCGATTGGAAGGGGAAGGGCTAACGTCCCCCACGTCACCAGACACCCCCCCCCATGCAGTCTCTGAGGATCTTTACTGCGTCTTAAATCCGGATCGCTGTTAATCCCAGCAGGAAAATAATATTAATAAGGAAAGCAGGCAAAAAGAAGTTTCCTTCTAGAACGCACCTCGTAAGGGTCTTTCGGGGCCTCAAGACGGACCCCTCCAAATCCTCCACGGGGCCTCCATCAGGATCCTAGCCGTTTACTGGGGGGCGTTAGGGTCAGGTCACCGAGCCCAGAAGAGGGTGGGGACGTGTGTCGGGGTTGTGTTCAACCCCCGAAGCCTACAAGTGCCAAGTCAGACCTGAAACGAGGCAAGTTGGGTTGCATCTGACCCTTCCTTAAGATTTGAAACCACCCACCTCTCCACAACAAAACAGCAGCCTTGGAATATTTTTGAATAAAACAGCCGAATTCGATATGGGCTTCATCCAAAACAACAACAACAAAAAAAAACCAAAAAAAAAAAAACCAAAAAAACCACAAAACACCAAAATCCCAAACCGGCAAACAGGCTTGCTTTCTTCGCCAAATCGGAACTGGAGCTGAATTCAGGAAAAAGAAAGGAGAAAACCTTCCTTCGCGCTCCTCGCCTGGGCGGGGATGGTGGAAGGTCCCCCCCCCCCCGCAACCCCCCAAGACCCGGCCGCAGGGGGCGCCTTCCCGCGTTCCCGTGTGCAGCGCTCCGCTTCCCAAACCGCGCGCGCCCTCGCTGCCGGCGCCGCTAGGGTTAAAAGTTACCTCTCGGTTTCTTCTGCCTGCAGCCCCCACCCCCCACGGGGGCCGGATGATGTAACCCCCTCCCCGCGCCCTCCCCGCCCCCCTCCACCATGTGACACTTTAATTAATAATAGCGCCGTCAGCACAACAAACGCACAACCCAAGGAGAAACTTGGTGTCCAGGGGAGGCCCCCGGCGGCTGGAGCGCGGCGGCGGCGGCGGCGGGCTCAGAGGCCGGAGGGAGAGCAGGCGAGGGGCGGCCTGAGCTCGGGGAGGGAGCGAGGCGAGCGGTCATGTGCCCGTGCCCCCTGCACCGCGGCCGCGGCCCCCCGGCCGTGTGCGCCTGCAGCGCGGGCCGCCTGGGTCTGCGCTCGTCCGCCGCGCAGCTCACCGCCGCCAGGCTCAAGGCGCTCGGCGACGAGCTGCACCAGCGCACCATGTGGCGGCGCCGCGCGCGGAGCCCGAGGGCGCGGGTGCCCAGCACGCTCCCCACCTACTGGCCCTGGCTGTGCGCGGCCGCGCAGGTGGCGGCGCTGGCAGCCTGGCTTCTCGGCAGGCGGAACTTGTAGGAACGCGGGGCTGCGTGGTGGGGCCAGAGCCGAGACCCAGCCGGATCGAGCAACAGGTACGCGAGCGAGCGAGCAAGCAAAGCAGCAGGCGAGAGCCAGGGCGCGGCATCTGGGCGCGGGTGGCCCGGGAGCTGGACAGTGGCAAGTTTGGCTTCTTGTCGTCCCTACTTCATCTTCCTCTGCTCCTTTCTCTTGGAAGCGTCTTCGTTCGCCTCTCCTACCGGTCTCCATCCTTTCCAGGGAGACTCAGGCTCCTTGTTTCTGTCCCTTCCTTTCTCTCGGTCTTCTTAAGTGCATTTTACCAGTCTATAGTGCGGTGACTTTAGGGGGACTTGAGCCTCCATAATCGCCACCAGCCCCAGAGTAAACACACAACACAAGTAAAAGTACACTTGCCATAGAACGGGGTTACCAGCCACGAGTAATTATTAGGCACTGCGGTTTCAAGACAAGTCCCCGGGGCCCTTCCAAGCAGCCGCCTGCCCCTCCTGAGTCGCTGCTTTCTCCAGCACTCTCTCCTCAGCCTTGCGAGTCCCCCCACCCCCTGCTTCTGGATCCCCATTCTTTAGCGCCCTGAGCTCATCTCGTGACTTCCTCCCCCTGCAGGTTGCTGGCTGGCTGGGTCTTTCTCCCCAAGGCCCGCGAACTTGCCAGGTTTATCCCGTCCTGCCAACTTCGTCGATCCTTCTCCGGAGAGGTGTCCTGTCCGTGAAGCTTGGCCTCCGTTCACCAGACGGTGGTAGCTGCGACAAGGAGATGTCCTAGAAGTGGGATGGAGTCTGAGGCTCTTAGGGAAACTCCGAGGGGAAAGTCTATTAAGCCCCTTCTGGTGCTAGGCTGTAGAGGGCGGGAATGTTTTGAGTGCTTGCTGAATGCAAGGCACTGCGTCGGGGAGGATACTGAGCGCCCTAGTGTGTTTGGTGCTATGGACAGAAATGCGCTAGGCCATTGGGGAGCGGGAATTATTTATTGAGCACTAGCTGTGCGCTTGACACTGTGGTAGGCGCTTTGGGGGAGCAAAGGTGTAAGGATCCTTTTTCTAAGTTGCAGAATAAGAGGGAAGCGCTGCAGAGAGTGGGGGTGGAGAGAATCAGGTGCCCCTAGGCTGAGGCCACCAAGGTTAATGGGCCTAGGGGCAAAGGTGACAATCAAAGGTCAGCGATCCCGCAGCACCTGGTTGCCCTTGCCCACTTCGGCGGCGCGCTCCGCTCCGTCCGGGCCGAGCCCCGTGGGGCGCCGACACCTCGGGAAGCTGGCGCTGCGCCCGCACGCGAGGCCCGAGCGTCTGCGCCCGCGGGGAGAGGCGGCAGCCGGAGCGTGGGGGGTGGCAGCGCCCGGGGAGCTGCGGGGGTGCGCGAGGTGTGAGCCGGGAGCGCGGGCGACAGATGTCGCGTGGGCCCGAAGAGAAGTGCGCGCTTTGGGGCGCTCTCCGCCTGACTCCAGGGTGCTGAGGTCCCATCCGCTTCTCCCCTCCTTCCCAATCCTGGCCAGAAGGGGCCAGACTGGGCCTGCGGAATCCAAAAGGGCGGAAACAACATTTTGGAACAAGTATAGGGGACCAGGTAACGGGAACCGAAAGACAGGACTTGAAGCCCAAGGCGTGGTATTTGGGAAGGCAGAAAGAAGGGCGGAGGGAGAGGGAGAAAGGTCAAGGAGATGGGGAAAGAAGCTTGGGAGAACGAGAGAAAGATACTGTCTGGAGAGCAAGTTGCGAGTGGGGAGGAGGAAGAGAGAGCTCATGGAAGTGGGGGCTGGGACACGGCTTCTAAAGGTCTGGGTGTACAGGCTGGATTCGAGGGGTGTCGGGGCAACATACCCAGGGAGGCGGGGACCCCTGCCGGAGCCCCACACTGTGTGACTGCAGCGGAGTACTGGCGAGGCTCCTAAAGTTGAGGCTCCCTAAGGTGAGGTCGCCGTTAGGGCGGACAGGGCGCGCGCCCTTGCGCTCCCAGACGGAGTCCGAAGTTGGGAGACGCGCCTACAGCAAGGGGCGCGCGTGGTGGTGGTGGGGTCACTGGAGCTCACTGGAGCGGTGCCTGCGGGTAGAAGTCGCCGTAGCATTGACTTCCCTTTGCTCACTCTGGTTCTGTCTCCCAGCCAGTTTCGTCCTGAGTCTTGGCTCTGAGCCACCTGCTCCAAAAGCCCTCCCTGGGTCCTCCTCCGCCCGCTGTGTCCCTCTGGGGCGTCCCCAGCACCCGAGCTCCAGGGTTCTCAGGCCTCAGGCACCCTGACCCCAGGACGCCCCCCAAGCTTCCCTTCACACCACCCCCTGCGCTTGCGACCCCGGCTTCTCCATGCTTGGGCTCCTTGCCTTGGTGGATCGAGTTCTCTCCTCACTGCCTACACGCTGACCCCAGAGGACCTGCAGTTCTGACTTTTCTTGGGTTTGTGCTGAATTTTTTCCAGCTTTCCCCAGCTCCAGTGAGTTAGGCAGAAGTGAAAGTCGACCCAGTGGAGAAAAGACAATTTGTTGAATTCTATGCTGGGTGTAAGGTGCTTTCCACTTTCCCTATCCTGGTGGAGAAATGGGAATGTGCACACCCTACCTTAGAGTCTCAGGGAGGCATTTAAAACAGGTGTTAAGGTTGAGCTCAGCTATATGCAGATCAGGAGTCCAACAAACTTGTCCTGGCCTCTTACTTTGACCAGCAACAGTTTTCTCAAAGTCATGATTAAAAAAGAAAGGAAACAAAAAACCTGAGACTCAGTTTTCCTATACATACAATGGGGATAAGAATAGTACTGAATTTAGCTGGGCCTGTGTGGTGGGACACTGCTGTAATCCCAGCACTCTGGGAAGCTGAGGCAGGAGGACCACAAGTTCCAGCCTGGTCTGGACGACTTAGCAACCCTCCCTCAAAATAAAATTTAAAAATGTTTAGAAGGGCTAGGGATATGCCTCACTGGGTTTGCTCTACAGTGCGTAGGTGTTGCTAAGGGGGTTAAGTGAATTCACACAGAGCTCCAGAACAGTGCCTAAGAAGTGTATATAAATGTGAGTGATTATGATTATTAGTGTGCAGTGTGTTTCTTTCCTTGAGTAGTCAATGTTTTACCATTGTCATTGTTGGAGTGCACACCTTTCCTGCCTACCCTCTTGGGAAACTTCTGCCAGACAGGTGAGGATGCTGTGACAATTAACAGCATGAGTTTAGGGCCCAGAAGCACCTGCATTAAGGGCACAGGCAGGGCTAGGGGCGCAGCTCAGTGGTAGAGACCTTGCTTAGCATGTGCGAGGCCTTTGGTTTGATCCTCAGTACCTCAAAGTACATAAATACCCAACCACCTGCTGGGAGTGGGGGATGGCCACGGTAAATGGATCTGTACTGGTCCCTGGTATTGAAGTGGGGAGAGACCATCCATTTCAGTGTCCAGTGCCTCCCTGGCTCTTGGTTCCTTCAACTTGAAGTAGACAGGCCATTCTTATGACATCATAGGGCAAACAGAGGCAGAGACTGTCCGCCCAAGTCGTCCTAAAGTCAGAACTGGAGTTGGGGTTTCTATCTTTGAGGGCATGCGTCCTCCCTCCTCCTCCCCCGCTTAGGGGCTGCAGGAGGAGGGGGTCAGGGAAGATGCAGGGGAGCTATAGGGGAGGCATAAATTCCTGCACTCCTAAGATTGCCTTTGAGAGCGCCTGTGGGCAGGCCCTCCGAGGCTGGGGAGGCTTTGGGAGGATGGGTAAGATTTAACCAGTCAGCGCTCCAAGGTACCGGAGAGGAACAAAAGAGGCTTTATGGTGAGCGCTGGCTCGCGCGGGGGAGCGGGAGGCGTGGGAGGGAGGGAGACGCGTGCCCTGGGAGAGGACAGGAGGGAGCGAGAAGGAGCCCAGGAATCTGCCTGGGAGAGGGGCCAGGGGTCGGCAGAATCCTGCCTTGGGACGGGGGGCTGGGGAGAAAGGGGGATGCCAGGCTCCAGAGCCACGTGGTCATCAGCTAGGAGATAATGGGCGAGCAGGAGCCTGCTTTAATGAATTAATGACGGGCTGGTCGGCGGGCCAGACGCGCTAACCGGTTCTTGGCAGGTACTTTGGGGATTCAGTGGTTAAACCTGGAGGCGCATCCCGCAGGCTTCCCTCTGCGCTGTGCCCCTGCCAGGATTACTTTGAGGCTTGAAAGCTTAGGCTTCTGCTTGGCAGGGGTGGGAGGCAGCCAGGCAGGAGGACAGCTGTTGGGGAGGAACCCCGGGAAGGGGCCAGATGTGGACTGCCGAGGAGCCTTCTTGCCACATGGTCCCTATCCGGAGTCGTCCCCTTGCCTGGTGAGGCCACAAGTGCACAAGTGACTGAGCTGGAGATGTGAAAACAGCCCCAATGGGGGATAATTAAGTCTGCCGAAGATGTGGGCTGGGTGAGGCTTGGCGGTCACACCCCTAGGACTGAAAAGTCAGCTTTTCAGCCTACCTTGGGAGCTAGGAAGGAGCCAGGCTTGTCTCCCTGTGGTCATCATCAGTGTTTGCATGGTGGATTTCATAAGTGCATTAAGCTACCCCATGGTGTTCCTGGCCCCTGGTGACTTGCTTGTCATTTGTGCCCAACTATGTGCTGAATAAATGGGGCCGTCAGAAACTATGCAAGAATAATTCTTATTGTTTCCCAGATGAACCTCCCCTCCCAACTGAACCCAGGGCCTCACCCTGCTGGCCAAGTGCTCTACCACTGAGCTGGAGCCCAAGCCCTTTAAAAATGTTATCTGGCCTTCAGTTGTGATGCTCCTGCCTCAGTGTCTTGAGTGGCTGGGATCATAGGCATGCATCCCTGCTCCAGGCCCAAATTCTGCTTCTTGCTCCTATTCAGTTATTAATATTCTATTGGTGGTAGTAGTATGGATGATGCAGGGCCGCAGGCATGCCTGGCACGTGCCCCACCCTGAGCTACCCAGCCTTCATCTATAGTTGGGTCCCCATTGTATGCAGAGCACTGTGGATACAGGCAAGATCCAGTCATGGAAGCACCTGCTTTTTTGGAACCTATATCTTGGTGGGTAGAGACAGGCAACAAGTAAATTTACAATACAGTAAATAAATCAGGAAGTTTGTTCTGCTTTACTCCAAAACTTAT